AAACAAAAATTTCTGAGTAACTGTCTACCAACAAAAAACCCCTAGAAAAAAAATTTAAAATACATTAGTTAAGGTATTTGAGGATTTTGGCCTCTGGCTTTTGGTCATTAGTAAATAGGCTATTGCCCATTTTCCATTTCAAGTACATTTTTCTCAGGTAAATGCTCATCACCACTTGATATTTGTACAACTTCTGTACTTATTGCTCTGTAATTATCTTCTATGGGAAACTAATGAAAAAAATGTTATGTGGAAGTGGATGGATCCAAATGTTTAAGCAAATTCAAATGTCTGGGGTGGGAGGAACTGGCCAGTAAGATTTAGCTGAGAAATTTATACTGTACCTTCCCTATGAAAAATTTGGCTCTGTTTTAGACCACAGCTCACTACAGCACTCAAGGTCTGTGCTTCCTTTCAAACATATGGATTAGATTCACTGATGTCAGCAGGACTTTCCACATTTTAAACTGAGGTACGTGTTCAAATGTTTTTCTTTTAGGGCCAACAGATCGTTTCCTGTTCCTCAGGCTATACAGAACCCTCCCCACAAAAAACACCAAAAAGGAAACGTAAATCTCTTCCTCAGCACCCCTCTTCCTCTGAGCCAGCAAGGGCTCTTCGTGCAGGGGTATCTGGGCAAAAAATAGGCTTTATAGTGTTTGAGTTGGGCTGAACTCAGTGGTGAACTCTGCCAGCACTCTTGCAATCTCTCATGCTCAGGAATAACTACCCTCCCGGGCAGTTGCTGAGAATTAGCTCCATCAGTTATTGCAAGAGCAAAGTTTTTGTTGGGTGCATGAGCATTTGCAGTATCAACCTTGCCCTCTTTATGCACCCCAGTCTGGTGCCAGTCCACCGTGTGTGGCTCCACTGCCCGTACCTCGCTGCCCTACACTTAGCACTTACATTCATATACATCGTAAACATCGTAAGAAGATAAATTTAACTTACAATAACCATTTATTTAAAATTACCTCTACTTTTTTTAGCTGGGGTGTAATGTCATGCTAGCTTTCTGAGACAAGATAAGCTGTAATGTAATGCATATATATACATATATATTTTATTTCCCCAGGTTGAAAAAAGGTTAACAAGCTGTTTCGTAGTTATATATCTGGAGAAGAAGAAACGATTGCAATTGTCCTGCATTCAACCTAGAAGAAATCTCTGTTGATTTAAGGACTCCTAGGATAGTGAAATACAGTGCCTAATTACAAATAATTGTTTATGTTCAAAATTCTTGGCACAGAAGATGGGTCACAATATAATTTTAGAGCACTGGATTTCAGCAACAGTTTTTTTGCCAGACAGGCCAGAAGGCTGAAAGGAAAAATTAAGGAAAGTTATCTGAGAAGTTACTCAACATTTTAAACTGGAGGAAGATCATCATCAGAGGAAGGTCTCTCCCATTTTTTATACTTTTTACAGAAGATAAATACAGTTGAGGGGAAGAGCAAAGCCCAAGATAGTTATACGTTTTTTTTGTCCATTTGGACCAAACCATCTGCAGAGATCACTAGACAATGGTAAGAGATGACTCCCAGAGCCTGTGTTTCGGTTCAGAAGGCTTGCCTTCACTGCAGCCACTGACTGATACACATGAACCACTCTGAAGTGAAACTTTTATTTCATTTTGCTCAAGGTAAGCTCACTGAAAGTAAACCTACAGACCCATCCAGGGTGAGCGTTTGGCAAATCCCTCTGCACTATAACCGAACAGCCTCGCTGACATCGTGTCTAGAGCTCCAGGTCCCAACACGCACCGCGCTGCTCTGCGAGGGAAAGCACTGCTTCTTTGTGGGAAAACCAACATGCCCTAGGATGGGAGGGACGGACAGAGGCCCCCCGGAACGCCTGGACCCAGGCGGGTTTCAGTCTGCTGGCAAGACGGAACATCCCTTGGAGCACTGTGATACCTCTGCCATGTCACAAGGCACCACGCAGCCCAGGAAGGGTGGTGGAGGCTTGGGGCTGCCCAGAGCAGCTGCGAATGCTGGACAGCCGGCCGGTGGCCGCCTGAGCCCAGTGCAGGATGGAGTTTCTGGGGACCACATCACCAGCCAGTTACTGTGGCACAAAGAAATGCTGCCTGTTCCCGGATCTAGCTCCCACCAGCACCACCAAGGACACCTATCAACTCTACTACCTACCAGGCTGCTGCTACCTCAGCTCCTGGAGGCCCAGTCAGCTTCACAAAGTGGTTTTGGCCCCTCCGAGCTCTGAAAAGCAATTTAATCCCGCTGGGTGGCCGCTCGCTGTTCTGCCTGCCTTACGCTCTAGCCTGCATGCCCGCCACAGCACTTGTGACTGGCACCACGCAAACATGGTTCAAATAAAAGCCTCTGAAGCCTCCAGGCACTGTGCTGGTAGACTGAATGCTGATTCAATGAGACTGACGCAAGATAAGGATCAACTGACTTATCAGACGCAAGAAGACAGTAGAAGAAATCTGGGAGAGAGGATCTCCAACATTGGTTTCTGGAGATCTGAGCTCATCTATGAGCTAGAGTGTCTGCTGAAAGAGACCCAAGCCTTGGAAACTGTAAAGAAGTGGCTCGAATGTACTGCAAATGAAATAGAAGGACCACTGAAGGTATGTTTGACAGAGCTAGTTATTTCATGACTGTACTGCAGAATGGGTAAAGAAAATGGCTTTATCTCTGTTGAACACTAGTATGACTTTTACAGCAAGACAGATCTTGGTGAAACATTACCCCCAGTAAGAAGGAAACCTGGCCATTATTTGCTTTATATGTAAAAGTCAACAAAGGAATCTCTTGAGACGTTTCTACACCCTTTTTCCCTTCCTTTCTGCTTGAGGCTCCAGGATGCTGTCTCTCCCTCAGGCACTGGCCGGCCAGCTCAATACGTTACAGGAGAGCAGAAGATGGCCCTGTAAGCTGCAATATCCCGATATTCTTACCTAGCTCTGAATTTTCTACTGTTTCTTGGTGAAAATAGTATTTTCACTTAGCATAGCATATAATTTGTGTTACATTTTGAAGTTCTCCAGAATCTTAAAGGCAACAGTAAAAGCCACAGTAACGTAAGTGTCAATGAATGATGCTAGCAAAAACTCAAAACATGCAAAAACTAGAGTCAAAGTTCTCTCATAAACATCTGGAATACTGCTGATGGAAGCTATGTCTATCATGTTTCTAGGCAAGTGCAAATAGAAAACCAAAATTCAGTATTCAATGATAACTTTTTTAGTTGTCTGTATCTGTACTGATTCAGTGGCAGGCTGAGGATGCCTTCCACTCGGGGAACATTTTCTGCCTAAAGGTTTTGTGCCAGCTAATGCTGTTTCATTTATTAGTATGGTTCTAAACAAGTGGATGAGACATTAAGAGTAAAGTTAACCTGCTGGGGCAGGTAAACTGAATTCCCTATTCAATGACTGCAGTTATGCAGTTACTCTCTTGTATAGGCATGAAACTTTCAAACTTTGGCATTGGGTGAGGGAGGACGAAGGGAGATGAGATTAAAGGATTTTGCTATGGATGAGTGTAGAACAACACAGGTGTTTTAATCCACACAATTTACAACAAAGCTTGGGCATGTTGAGATGTAGGCCTTGCTGCACATAAAGAAGCAGCTAATCAAATGGCAGCTATGGTGGCAGCTAATCCTTAAAAGTATGTATTAGCAGGTAAGTAGGGATAAGCCACTAAGATGGATCAGTTGAGCGCAATGAAAGCACCTCCTCCTCTGTTCCACCCTCAATGGATGGTCATTACTTGCCGTGGCAGCTCCATGGCCCCTTCAGCAAGGTACAAGGTTTCACTCCACAAAGCAGTACTGAGCCTATTACAAATGTTCCTCGGTTTGCTTGCAGGTAGCTTTAGAATGCTTGTACCACCGTGAGAAGCAGTATAGACTGAGTTCACGACGATGTGGAAAAGAACCTCATAAAGGTAAGATCAGACTTACTAGTTTATTTTTCAAACTGTGGAAATAACTAAAATCCAACTAAATATTTATCAAGGTAAAAACACTGCAACAGTTTCTTCCTTTCATTCATTTGGAAGACTGATGGGGAGGGGAGAGAGGAAGAAATTTGGTAAAACTGTATATATTGGGGATGGTGGATGATGAATGTTCTATTCATCCTTCCTGGAGCAAAAGGAATAGCCTAGCATCCTTGTAAGGTCTTGTCTAGTTCTATCTTTCCTTATTCTATTAAAAAAAAAAAAAAGAAATATTTCTGAAGATTGCTTTCTTGGCCATGGTCTATAAAAATCTCAGAAGTTCTTAGGGCTTACAAAAAAAGATGCTGGTTTACTGCCTTGCTATATATATGGTGTTACTCAATAAAGAAAATTATATGGACAGTAGTGATCACTAAATCTTTTAAGTAAAAAAAAAAAAAAATCAAATAACATTTTGCTAACATATTTCAAAGAAGTTATATTGGATGTGTGTGAGAACAAAAATACTAGGAAAGAACATTATGGGACAATGGCATTGCTTCAAGCACTTTTTTGGATACAGAAGGATGTGCAGACCACATGGATAACCAAGATGCTTGTTCAGAGCCTACAGCCTGCAACTTGGAGTTTTAGAGTTTTATTGCAGAATCAAGGAGCTAATATATATCTTAAGTATTTCAGCACTTAATTTAGCATGAGAATTTTGAGTTGGATAAAATACTGCTAAATGTTCCATATGAACAGATGAAAAACCTATTTTTTCAAAATGAAAACTAAAGGCTCTTTTGCCTGATCTCCCCAAGCACTGCTCTGACTATGGAGCAAGCCAGACAGTGACAATAAAGGACAACAAACGCTCATTTTGTAATAGCAGGAAAGCCAGTTCCTAAAGTTGCTGTGACTCCTACACATACTGTACAAGTACAGAGACAGAGCCTGTATGTTTAAATTTCGGGTGTCTTAATGACTTCAAATAATTCAAAACACTTCATTCCCTGTTTTAAAACTGACAGAACTGTACACACTTTGGTAAGAGGGTATGTTGGGCTAAAACAGAGTTTTTAAAAAGGAAAGAGGCTGGAACACCATAATGTTGTTTGAAGGACCGTAATTACCATGTTTGCATAGTTTTCAATGTGGTCGGTTTGAGTATTTGTTATTTATTTTAAGCTGAGTGGAACCTGGCTTTGAATTTCTTTGACTAATACTTACAGTTTTGAAGAATATTACAATATACTTCCTTAAGGAGCCTGTTTCTGAAATCAGAGATATTTTCAAGCTACTCCACTACTAGCAAAATACTTGTATCGTTCTAGAAAAATGTAGAAGTAGTCAGAGAGGGTAGTCTAATGGATTAAGATTCATGTTTCAAGTATCTTCATTATACTTAAGCCAAGCAAAATTTGGCTTTATCAGAATGACTCTGTCCAATAAAATCTATTGATATGTTTGATATAATATAAAAACCCATACAAAACCAAGTCAGAAGATACAACTTTGTAGCACTGAGGAAGAGAGGGACCAAAACCCCTTTCTTGACCTACATTGCATTTGAGATATGAGAGATGGTTGTAAAATCTAGAATGCAGAATATAAAGGGTAAATACACTAAACCAAATGAAGTTTCACGAAAGCACTGACACTGTATATTTTCCACCATAGGAGCTTGATGTACTTAAGGACGGTCAAGAAACATTGACAAAACTTGCACAAAAAATCAGTCACCAGTTGGGGTAAGACATTTAATCCCTGTTTTAAAGATAAGAAAGCTGAATTCAGTGTTAGCTAGTATCTAACGACAGACTGAAAATAGCAAAAGTAAAAGCAGAGACTTAGCCTGTTAGATGCTCATTGCCCTCCACTTCTAATTCTTCCAATGGCAGAATTTGTATGTTAAACCAGAGAAGAGCAATACTTACTATTTAAAGATAACTATGACTCAATTTTTAAAGTCATGTTTAATCTGACATCCTTCATTAAAATTAGGGACACCAAAATTATAGCTTGGTTGTGCCAACATTGCTATGTGGCACACTGGAGTGAAGTTCAAAGGGAATATTTTTTTTTAATTACAAAACTAAATTCAAAGGAAATTTATTATTGACAACAGAAACAGGAATCCAAGCACATCATAAGGTATGAGATGAGTTATGGAACGGACTTAAATTATTTTTATGTATATTTTTATGTTTTTGTTATGGGAGGCTTTGGAATGTGTTTTATTTCTTTGACAGTACACAAATATCCTAGTAAATACAAATTATATTTAAGTCATCATTTAATTAGGCAAAACTATTCTGAATACAGTGTTCTGTTAACTACACAGAACTGACACAAATTTTAAAAGTCATGTTTACATCACATAATTCCCAAAAGAAGGAGTTCAAATACACACAAGGAAGATAAAATTGTACAGTTCTTGATTATTACATTACAGGAGAAAAAGAGATAAGTTGATTTTATAAATGATTACTCTTATTAATGGCACTCAGGACTTGCATGAGTCAGGTTAGATGCATTTCTGCAATTCATCCTACTGCTGTAATATATTGGGTATATGATCAGGTAAAAGCTAGGTTCATATTTGGTGGCATGAAGTCTGTCTAGCTCTTTAGGCTGGCATTTCTGGTTACGTTTGATTCAGTTCTGTCACCACATCAGGCAGACAGCTAGTAAAGCCAATTGACAAGTACATCATGGAAACAGCAATATTTGCAAAAAATGTCAATATGTCTGCTGGGCTTTGATTCTTTCTTCATCCATATTACTTTCATTCTAGCCCAAGGTCTGCCAGGCCTTTCTGCCTTTTGGAAGAGCCAAAAGAGATTAGCTTACTCCAAAAGTTCCTTGTGGGTAAGAAAGCAGAGATGGAACAACATATTTCCCTCCTCTTGATCAAGATGAGCAGAAATATTTAAACAGATTTTCCAGTGATGTACAATTTGAATTATGCTAAGTGAATTTGTCCCCCAAATCAAGAGAGATGGGAAACCACAACTCTGATCTGCCCTTTTCTTTCTCACTTACAGCTGTGCTGGCATGAAGATTATCACGGGAAACCTCCTCCCTTTTGCTCTGAGGCTTTCCTTCATGCCACACAACACCTACCTGTTGTTTTTCACCCTTGTGGTCATCTGTCATCAAAATGACAAACATTATTAAATGCAGCAAGTTAAACACAATTCTTCGGGGAATACTTGCTAGAGGCCAGAAGAGATGAATGGTACAGCAGCTCCCTCTAGCTAAATTACAGCACCAAGTGTTTTCAAGCCACTCTAAATGCCAACAAACTATAAAATGAAGCATTGTAGGAAGCTAATGAAAGCAATTAACTATTTAGCACAACAGCATTAAAGGTGGTTCAGATTAAAGTAAGTCTTTCCCCTTCACAGCATCAACAGAGATGCACAGCATGCCCTGGAGCAGGATCTTTCTGACAAAAACTCAGCCCGTTTTATTGATGAGAAGTGCTTTAACCTGAGGGACACATCAGACAGCATCAACTTTTACCATGGAGCAGAAAAAGCAGATGGGATGTGAGTATGAGGGGCTACAGTAGTCTTTGCTTTCCATGCTCCCTACTGTAAGTAGGAGCCTGATTACAGCACAAGTCCTAGCCTTATCTTTGAGAAGTGGTAACAGAAAGAAGTGGCTTCTCTCTCTGCATGGACCTGTTTTTCCTTAGTGTGAAGCTCTCCTTCATCCTCAATTACTCCCTGCCTCCTAACAGCTGCCATTGCTGGAGGCCAGGCAGAAGCTGACAGTCTGCAGCACCTACAGCATTCATTGAGGTGCTGTGAGTTGTGTTTTTCAGTGAGGACAATCATTTATAACTGTGTTGCAGCTGACTCCTTGCCCTCAAACTCTTTGTGCAGATGCCTCCCTGTGGTTTTGACTTACGTGGTTCTGTGGCCTTCAGGTTTCAAAGCCACATCAAATCAAATCAAAATTCAGCTAAGGTGTGCAGTTAAGTGCAACATGGTAAACAGCATGCAAGTGTACACCAAGGACTATGTATACTTTCTGTAAAAATAGCCTAGGTTACTTGGAAATTAGTCCATCGAGCTATACAGAGATATGTATTAAACAGGATGATCAAAAAGATTTGGCACAGCTTTAGCATTACAGATTGAATTAAAATTACTGAACTAAAATGTCCCAATTGTATACAGTTTTAAAACTGTTTTTTAGTAGTGGCCTCATCAAGACCTGCATCCAAACCAAAAGAAAAGCAGCTTGCAATAGAGGGCAGTGTTTTTGTGCTAATGACTTGTTAGTTCCCTTATCACTCTTTAACATAGCAGTATTTGAATGGTGAATGTACTTCACAAATGATGACTCTGCCGTCTTGGAATGAGGGAAAAAACCCCCAAACAGTATTATTTGTTTGCTTATGTTCTGCTTTTCATTAAAAGATCACCTCATTCACTACTGAAATGAGGGCATATTCAAAGGAAATTTGGCAGGCATTCTGCTGACTCTAGTAACACTACCTACTTTTAGGATTAGCAATGAATAAAATTATTCTTGTCAGCTCTAGTAAAAAGCAGATTCATGTGGCTAAGTTTTACAGCCCTTTTCCTTTCTCACCAACTATTACCCACAGAAATGACATTTTTCATTAACATTTTCCTGAAACTATTTGGCAGACTGAGACACACCTGCAGCATTCAGGAGCAGAGCAGGTGTTTTCTGCCTCAACAGAGCCAGCCAGATAAATTAGTCTGAAAAGCAATGTTAAAGAACAGATTAAGTACTAAGTATTTCACATAGTCAAGATGGAAACCTACTTGGAAATTTAATCTTCTGATGAGAAAATTAATATAATCCATCAGACCATAGAATGGGAAAAAACCCAAACCAAATACGCTGTAGAAAGTACACTGAGATTGTCTGGGACAGTAGCTGTAAGCAATGTCAGCTCAGGTTTAGTACACCGATTTATGTAATTTACTATGGTATCAGGTTGGTTACCTGAAACTTTCCAGGGCAACTATGCAAATAAATGTGTAGCACTAAGGAATTCCAAATCATTTAGGAAGATCAGTACTTCAGTTTGGAGAGAGGAATACCCTATGAAAAACCAAAAAAAAGGCCACTGAAAAAACAAGCACTGACAAAACTAACTTCCTTTTTTTTGATCCCTTAATATTTACTCTCAGTGTTCAATTAAAATCTAGAGTAAATGTGAAACTCAAAAAATAGTGTCCTGTCCCTGCAGAGTTTAACATACAGGCATAATTCTTAGAAGGAAGTTTTGTGTGGAGAAAGAAGTCTAAATGCAGACAGAAGTTTGTCTCAGCCTTTCAATTTGGCAAGTAAAATACCTGTACCTTTTCAAAAAATACACTAAATATTTCTCAGTGAAGAGAGAAGTGATCTAGTAGGCTAGGCAATGCATTAAAGAAAGTGGTGAATTTAACTCCAAAGAGAGTAGCTTATGCTGTTACCGGCAGTTTTCAAGCCAGGGGCTCAGGCTGCAAGTTTAGAGCCCTGCAGACTCCTGGTTTGGAAAGATCTGTGTCTGGGAGTTATGTTCAACTAATTATGATAATAGGGGCGATCTTTGAAGCTTGGACACAAAACCAAGCATCCCAAAGTTTGTTTACGTACAGGACATTGCAGCAGGAACGTTCATGGGTGGCATTTTGCAGTGGAGGAGCCCTGTATTCAGTCTTTCTCTGCATATTGTTATACAAGGCGTTGCCATAGTAGAGACATTTCTGCTTGTCTCACAGACATGACTAAATTTAACTGTAAGTTAAAGCAAAGCTATTAATTTTAATATGTGGAGAAGTAAGAGGATGGAGATACTTACCTAAATGACACAGCAGGACAATGTTGGGGCTGGGAGAAAATTCCAGTTCTCCTTACTCTTAAGTCAGTGCCTTATTTTCCTGCTATCATTCCTTATGATGATGAAGGCTACTAGGAGGTCAAAACCACATGCTTTATTATGCAAGTCATACATATCTCATGAGGTAGGGCTGCTCTGATAACAGACCAGAGCTATCTGAAGAGCTGTGTGTCACCTAGAGCTGTGTGTCACCGTTTAAGGCTGGGCCAG